GTTTTGCACAGTATTTTTTATGTCGATCAATTGATCGATGTCGTCCTTGGATTGGATATAATGTCAAGTCTGCTTCCCATGCATGCTGAATCTAGAGTTCTAGACAACTTATACATCGCAGGTTTACATCAGATGGGCACACAAAAGTAGCCAAAACACCGATGGCTAGCTAGCTTGAAAGAATTAATGATCTCAAACGCCATCGATCGCTACAAATGGATGAAACCAGCTAGGCAACAATAATCAAAGCTTTAATTTCCTACTTTCATAATCAATCAACATGGCCTCTCATGAACCAGACGTGCCGACATGCATATCCAATGTACTACTACTAATAATATTTGCATTTAATCCAAATAATTGTAAAAATATTAAACAAGATCGATTAAAATGTGATAAATCACTCCAAAAATATACAAGGTCAAATTCAACTTATATAAGATGTAACGAAAGAAAACAAATTTGATTGTGAATATACGTTAGTCATAGTTTAATTTGGTTTTTTCAACTTGTCTTGTTGAATATACGTTAACTATCTTATTGAATTTTCTAATATTTTTATAACCATTTAAATAATATGCAAGTAAGGAATCTCTTAGAGTTTTAGAATCCACTCCGCTATTATATATGCTGTAAACATTTGCATGCCATTTGCCAAGCTTATATAGGACAATGCAAGTAACCTCTTTGCTTCAATTCCGTAGTGTACGTGATCAGAGTCCAACTTAGGAGTAGCCCCGATTGTTTTCTTGTGAGTTCAGTTGCTGTCACTTGGAAAGTGCAACTGTGCAAGGCCAGCCTCCATCATACCATATATACCTTTGCTTTCCCTACCTGTCCGAATTAGCCAAGTCATGATCGACTGATCATATTCAGTCCAGCTAGTTCAATCGCAGAGTTCAGGATATATGCCGGTTGCAAAACTGCAGTGATTTACTTAGACTATGTTTAGATTCAAACTTTGGATCCAAACTTCTAACTTTTTTTCATTGTATCAACCTGTCATACACACACAACTTTTCAGTCACATCGTACCAATTTCAACTCAAATTTTCAATTTTGGAAGGAACTAAACACAACCTTATAAGTTTGCCATGCAATATGGCACCCACATTAATTAGGACAAGCATGATCCATCAAAATCATGTCACACCGACCGACTGATTCATGCATGGCGGTGGGTGGCCCGGCAAACACCACCAAAATGCATGCGATGCAACGTGTTCCTCCTCAAGTCGATCTCAACAAAAAAATCGGTCACATTCTGGCCTCTTGTGTGCCCCTTTTTCTACTGTACCAACTAATCCATCCGGCCCATGCATGCTTCTCCACGAAAACTTCTCCTGCAAAAGTCGATCACTAGTGACATCTCTACAAGGTAGCAAACGTTTGCTAGGCCGCACAAGGTGGCCCACGAGTTGGCGCCGTCCGTCCAGCCCCAGCTCGACTTATTAGAAAATAAGAATTTTATATATGTGTGTTTTTAGTTATTTAAAAACTAATTAAAAATACCTTAAAATCAACTTTAAAATAAAATTTGATAATTCAAATTTTAGCTTCGACTTTACTCCCTCCGTCCCATTTTAAGTGCAGTTATGGTTTTTCGCGCCCAATTTTGATCGTCCGTCTTATTTGAAAAAAAACAAAAACATAAATCACGAGTTAAGTACTATTATGTTTTATCATCTCATAACAACAAAAAAAATACTAACTATAAAAAAATCAAATAAGACGAATGATCAAAATTGAGCGCGAAAACTCATGGTTACACTTAAAATGGGACGGATGGAGTAGCTTGTAAGAGTAACCAATGAGGCTCTAACTTATTACTACTATCTTCTGAATTTAAATGATTGATATGTTAACGATCCACGCGTTAGAGAACAGCATGTCAGAGGAACTTGTTCCCAGCACAATAGCCATCGATCCCTTTCATGGTTTCACCAAAAGAAAACTTCGAAGTGCCATCTTCATCTTCCCAAACATCTTCTTCACTCACAAGGCACGCAAGAACGAACCTGTGCCTGGTGTGGTATCTTTTTTTTCTGTTTGGCTGTTGGAATTTTATGAAGATAAGTTAACGCGACCACAGCTGCAAAATACGTCAAGCCAATTTATTGCGAGTGTGTCAATGACTAGATGATCAAAAAGCCTCTTGTTTTCATATGGGAGATAGAACAAATACTAGTAGTGGAGAGTCACACGGATGCGGTACTCCTGCAAGGTGTGATTGTACAGTAAGCCTGAATGCGAGAGATGAACAATTACTACTACATGTGAGTACAAATTCAAGTACGTGTATATATGTCGACTACCTCCTTGTCCTCTTGCAGTAGCAAACATAGGCACATAGCAATCAAAGTAGACATGGCATTAAGACACTGCATGCAAAGATAGCAAATGCATACAAAGAAATTCATCAGATACATGCATCCATATACGCGAGTTTCCAATGTATACAGGTCACTGCATCGATCCCATGGATGACAGCAAATTTCGCGAGAAACTGAAGTTCAAAATTGGCTACCTGACATCAATCTAGCTTGATCCAGCACACTAGCAGCATGCATGCAAGGCTGGTGCGGTGCCTCTCTTCGTCAAAAAGATGAGAGTGCATATACGAACAAATCTGTAACCTCGATTTGCGATTTGCTCGCGACGATGACGATGTTGCAATCATATCTTCAGCTCAACTGCACATATCTTGGTTTAATTGTTCGCTTGAAATGTAAAATACGGAGTACAGTATATATCTCCAAATATTTAACAAATTTATGTTTGTGTCAATCCCTCTGAATTAACCGAACTGTTTCCAGGGTAATTGAGCACGTAGTAGATGATAATGGATCGAACGCTGGATGGTGCTGTGTTTTACGAGTGAACAGTGAAGTGCACCCGATCGCAACAGTGGCATGGCATGCAGGAGCAGGAGCTGCGACAGCGACACGCAAACTGTCACCCATCGCCCTCCCTGCTGCCTTCCTCATCCGTCAGCGACGTCAAACCACGATGATCTGCTACAACAACAACAAAAAACTGCAATACTACCCTGCAATTCTGCGCATGAGCCGTGAACCGTCCATCCATCCGTCACACCGCGCGAGGTCAGCGTGACCAAGACTTTACCATCCCTTCCCTTCCGTTTTTTTTTTTTGTGACCAGCCCTTTTACGTTTTTTTTTCTCCTCTTCCTTTTTGGAGAGACGAGTGCGTATAGAAACAAAAAGAAAAAAAAAGAGAGAGGGAGTAGTAGTAAAAGACAGTAACGGAAGGGAAAGAGTGGACAAAAAAATCAGGGGAGGTGAAACGCATGCAGGTGCAGTGCAGAGAGAGGCAAAGGCCAAGTTAAGAGGGCGTCATCAATAAGAGCCTGAGTAGTTATTGTGCTCACCTCCCTCCTCTGACACACAGACATGGGGATATGCATGCATGGAGAGCGCTCGCCTCGCGCTGCCGCTGCCGCTCGCGCGTCGCGCCACGCCAACGCCAACGCTAGCTAGCGCGAGCGCGAGGATGGCGTGACCGCGCGCGCGCGCCTCGCGTACGTTGTTGTTGCCGTCGTCTCGCGCGGCTTGGCTCGCGGCGGTTTGCAGTGGACGACGTACGTACCGCGCACCGCGCGGCGCGCGCAGCCCACGCCGCACACGCACACGGCTCGCTCGCCACGGCAGCACGGCGCGGGCGCCGCGCAGCCAGGGGAGATAGACAGATAGATAGATAGAGAGAGAGATAGAGATGAGATGGCGTGGCCGCGGCGCGTCTACGGACCACATCGCCTTGCCCTGCCTGCACAGCGTGACGATGCCCAAAGCTACGCGCGTTACACGATTGACCGGGCGCGTGATCAGCACAGCACAGGGAACCCCTTCTCATCTCCTTTTGTTTTGCATATTAGCCCCTTCATAAGAGAGTAATTCTGGTTGAGGTTACTTCGCCGGTAAAAACCCTCTAGTAGTTGTATTTTTCTTATTTTGCACTACCTTAGTGCCTATTTTATCTTTACGTTGAATTGATAGGGTGATAGACCGGAGAAAACGTGATATGCCTATTTCTTCTGTTCTCGACAAAAACAGATTTGTTGAGTCTGAGAAGCTGACTAGCCGTTGTCGTATGTAACCGAAAATATAGCTTGTAAGGTCAAGCATGTAATGTCTACATCGTTAAATAATGTGATATGCTACAAAACGGAAATGTATATCTTGTTGTACGAGTGTTGCAATAAACGTCGGAGAATCATAACCGCTACCCGTTTTGAAGCGTTGCAAGTAGTTAAAGCTTCCTTATTTGTCGATTATACGGACGTTCTAATGCTCTCGTCACACAAACTACAATGGATTGGAGTACATGGAATACGTTATGGCCAAGACTACTCGTTTACAATTGAATCATTAAAAGCTTCTTTATATGTCGGTTGTACGGACGTCGTATTGCTCTTGTCATATAAACTGTAAATGTAATGCATGGAATACATGACGACCGAATAGGACAAGCGCTCGTGCATGGATGGTTTGGTTGCATGTTTTTTCACGTAAAATCTTAATTTTTGCATGAAACATATTTTCATGCGTCGGTGTCATCCTACGTACAATTTGCTAAATTTTTCACCAAGTCTTTTGAGAAACATTCAAAAATATTTTTTTTTAAGAACCCCGAAGACCAAAATGCTGCAGAGTCAGTCTTAACTGCAAGTTACAGAGGCTAGAAGGGCTAATATGAAATTTGCAGAAAAACAAGATTTTCTGGACACTTTTTCAAAAAAGCAAGAAAAAACCGACATTGCGAGCTCGGCGTAAACATCTGATGAGTACCTCACATGTTGAACATCTCCCTGTACTTACTGACAAGTGACAAAGTGGGTATTTAATTCTCTCTTCTCTTCAAGTCTTTTGCAAGAGCCCCAGGCTTCCCTTCCTTCACAATCTGTGGAGGGTGCAAAGAGAAAGGCCTTCTTCCAGGCAAGGCTGCAGTGCCGAAGGCGAAAGCAAATACAAAAGGGTAAGAGGAGATGGTGCTGCCTGTGTTTATATTAAGCTCTCTTCTTCTTCCTCCTCTCCCTTCTTCTCTGGACCACCGGCTTAATAGTAGCCCCATCCTTCTTGGTTTTCTGCAAACACGCAAACTCTAATAAGCCTATATGTTTCTCTCTCTCTCCATAGCACTAACTCTTGGTGTGAGTGTGTGAAGGGAGAGATATTATATTGGAGGCCATTAACTTATCTTCAGAAAGAAGGCATTTTTCTTGTCTGTTTTGCTCATCATACCTTCTCCCTTTCTTCAGAGAGGGCAATGTTTACTGGTTGCTGCTGCCTTGTTGTTGTTGTTGTTGTTCTGTCCCTGATTTGAGGACTCTTTGTACCAGATCTGTGAGGAGGCCTCCTCTTGTGCTTGTGTTGGTGGGGGGCGCCGCACTTGAGGTGGTCAGGGATGAGTAAGGAGGAAGTCCTCAAGATTCAGGTCAGTTTTTTCTTTTTTGCTTCTTCTCAACTCAAAACCATGATACAGACATTCTGTTTTTCTCCTTGTTTTTGCTGCCATTTTCATCAGAAGGTAAGACAGGGCAGCTAGCTTTTCTTTTTCATTCACCTGGTGTGTTCCTCTCCTGCTATGTTTTCTTCGAAAACGCCTCTGTTTTTGCTGTTTTGGTAAACCTGTGTTTTCTCTGTTCCTCCCAAATTCCCAGACTTGTGTGCTGAAAGTGAACATCCACTGTGATGGGTGCCAGAAGAAGGTCAAGAAGATCCTCCACAAGATCGAAGGTAACAGAAAAAAGAGAGATTATTTTTTATGAGCAAATTGCTTTTAGTTATATGGTGGTTTGAAATTTTCTGGGTGAAACGCTCGTTGGATTTATGTCTGCAGGTGTGTACCAGACTAGCATTGACGCTGAGCAGGGGAAGGTGACGGTGTCTGGCCTGGTGGATCCGGCCACCATTATCAAGAAGCTCAACAAGGCCGGCAAGCCGGCGGAGCTATGGGGTTCCAAGGTCGGGGTGGCGGCGGTGAACAACCAGTTTCAGAAGCTCCACCTTGACGGCGGCGGCGGCGGCAAGGGCCAGCCCAAGGATGGCGGCGGCAAGGGGCATCCCAAGGACGCCGGCGGCAAGGGCCAGAAGGGCGGCGGCGGTGGCGGCGGCAACGGTGGAGGCGGCAGCAAAGACGTGAAGATGATGATGCCGCCGCAGATGCCGCAGCCGACGCCGCAGCAGCTTCAGCAGCTGCAGCAGCAGCTGCAGATGAAGGGGCTGAAGCTGCCGCAGTTCATGGACGCCGCCAAGATGGCGCCGTTCGCGGCGGCCGCGCCGATCAAGGACCCCAAGTCCGTCAAGTTCAACCTTCCCCCCGAGGATGACTTCGGCGACGATGGCAGCGAGTTTGATGACGAGTTCGATGAGTTTGACGATGAGGACGATTTCGACGACGACGGCCTCGACGAGGACTACTTCGACGATCCCAAGATGATGAAGCAGATGGCCATGCCGCCACCAAACGCCGGCGGCGGCGGCGACAAGAAGGGTGGCGGCAAGAAGGGCGGCGGTGGCAACGAGATCCCCGTGCAGATCAAGGGGAACGCTAACAACGCCGCCGGCGGCGGCGGCAAGAAAGACGCCGGTGGCAAGCAGAACCAAGGTGGCGGAGGCGGTAACGGCAAGAACGGCGGCGGCGGTGGGCAGCCGAACAACGCCAAGGGTGGCGGCGCCCCGAACGGCGGCGGCAACCATCCTGCTCAGGGGAAGAAGGGCGGCGGCGGCGGCGGTGGCGGCCAGGGCGGCGGTGTCGGTGGGCCGATGGGCGGCATGCCGGCGCAGCAGCAGGCCATGATGATGAGGCCGAACATGATGGGGGGCGGTGCCGGTTTCCCCGGAATGGGCCAGATGGGCGGCGGGCCCATGACCATGCCGATGGCCCACCACCCCCACATGGGGAGCGCCCAGGGCGGCGGCGCCGGCGCCGTGCAGGGCATGCCAACGGCGGCGTTCTACCAGGGCGGCGGCGGCGGCGGTGGCGGCGGCATGCCGTCCGGCCCAGAGATGCTGCAGGCCGCGGCGGCGGCCGGCAACCCCATGGCCCAGCAGCAGTACATGGCCATGATGCAGCAGCAGCAGCAGCAGATGATGATGAACGGCCACGGCCACCACGGCCATGGCCACCACCACGGTCACCATGGCCACGGCGGCGGCGCTGCTCCGGCGGGGTACCCGGCGATGGGGTACGGGTACGGCCGGCCGCCGATGCCGTACCCGATGCACTACCCGATGCAGCCCCACCCGCATGCCGATCCCTACAACTACTTCAGCGACGAGAACCCAAACAGCTGCTCGGTGATGTGAGGTCTCCAGTGTCCGGTTTGCTTTCTTCCTCCTCCTGCTGCTGCTTCTGGTCATTCTGTTGTTCAACAAAGTGAACCAACCAGGAGTCAAGGAGGAAGAAGCTCATCAGGTCACAGGTGATCGTCATCATCATGGTTGAGATGAGAGATGCTCAGGATCAGTCAACCAGTATACACCATGGGAAATGAGTCCCATCTAGATCGCTCTTCTTTTTTTCTTTTTCTTTTTTTCTTTTTACTTAGCTCGTTTTCACCTTTCTTTTAAAGGAGAACTCAACTTCCTTGAAGGCGAAGGTAGGTATAGTAATTATCTATAGTTTTTCATAAGAGATGATGGTGGTGCTTTATAATTCGAGAAGGAAGGTGGTGGTGGTGGTTTCCTTCTTGCTCCATATAAGGTTGTGGCGATGCATGGTAGACGAACAATGTGCAAAGCAAAATGTGTTGCCAAATGGTTTGTTTGTGCCTCTGTGACTGTGACAGTGGATGTGTGCCCTAGCTATAGTGCTCTTTTTACATGCCACTAGTAGTGGAATGTTGTCAACTCAATGCCATGCTTTTCTTTCTTCCTTGGTGTGAGAGAAGAAAGATTATAATACTCCATCCCAAGGTGAGGAAGGTGATAACAATGATAATTGTGGGAGCAATGCAATGGAGGAGAGGGGATGGATGATCATGATGATGGCTGTGGTGGTGGTGGTGGTCCATGTGTTATGTGAGGAGGAAGAGGGAAGTCATAGAGGAGAGGAGCTGCTGCAGTTTTGGCCATGGTTGCAACCTTTTCCTGCACCCTGCACTTACATTATTGATGGGGTAAGATAGCGCTGTCCCGTAGCAGCAGCAGCTGCTGCATTCAGGTTGGCTTAGGGGTTCCCAAACAAAATTTTTCAGGTTGTCATATCTAATATTTGTATATATGCATAATGTATTAAATATAAAAAAATCAATTATACAGTTTGCCAGGAAATTATGAGATGAATCTTTTAAGCCTAATCGCTCTATGATTTTGTCATATCTAATATTTGTATATATGCATAGTGTATTAAATATAAAAAAAACTAATTATACAGTTCGCTAGAAAATTACGAGACGAATCTTTTAAGCCTAGTCGCTCCATGATTTAACAATATGATGCTACAATAAACATTGCTAATGATGAATTAAGATGGATTAATTAGTCTTAATAAATTTGTCTGTAAACATTACTAATGATGGATTAATTAGGCTTAATAAATTTGTCTGTTAGTTTTTTGGTGGAATATGTAATTTGTTTTTGTTATTAGATCATGCTTAATATTTTAAATGTGACAGGGGGGCAAATTTTTTCGCCAACTAATGACCACAGGCCCTTACACCAGAATTGCACATTTCAATCCTATGACCACAGTAAGCACCACTGCTTCTGCCTGCCCTGATCATAGAACTGCTTGGTCCCTCTCCCTCACAACGATTGATTCCACCCCCAACTACCGCGGTAAAAGGTGAGAAAAATATCGCAGTATATGCAGCATTCAGACTCATGATCAGAGCAACAATTGTCTGAACTTTTGTATGCAGTACTATTGTACTGCTAGTAATCAAGCCTTGGAATTGTAAATACAGTATCATACTACCATTGTCCTGACCACATTTTTCTTCACCTAAACGGATCTTAGTACTGTCATTATTTTAGAGGGCTACACCTATACAGAGATAGTAGTACAAAGTTTTTGTTTAGTTGGCATGGTATTTGCCGCACACTCGATGCTTGAGATTCGATGTTAGTTGTCGCGAATGGTGGATCCATCCCCACTGGATTTCGCGCAGGAGACTCACGCTCTGCTCCGTATCAGGGGCGCTCCACTGTTGGGACCAACAGCATCAGCAGCAACAGCAATCATCCCTCTCCGGATTAGATTAATCCGCTGTCCCCAATTGGAACCAAAAACATGCCGTGCCGTAGATTACCATCATTAATCACACGCCTCCATTAAACTACTAGGCCCATCTTGCCATCATGAGCTTGGAAACGAGCAAGCCAGCCAGCTTCAATTCCTCTTCTTTTGTTAATATGAACTTGTTTCAGTTGCGTTGTGTTTGTCCAAGTAGGCAAAAGCAGCTTTCTCCAAAGCGATCCATGGAGTAGGAGGAAGGATCTTATAGTGGGGCAAGCGATGGAGCCGGATGGAAGGGAATGCTACTCGCTCTCTATGCATGTAGGGCAGGCGGGGTATGTACTTCTATGTATGTATGGCTCAATTGTTGTGTTTATAGGAGCTTCTTAAACCCATCCAACAATCTAAATTGTCACTAAAATTATTTTTCACGAATGCGAAAAAGAAATTGCACGTCAATATATTGGAAGAAGCAGAATTTTAGTTACACAACGCAATCGGCCAGAAAGACCCTTTGCCATGGGAAAGTAAAAAAGAGGAGAAAATGGCCGCTAAGGGAAGCTAAATGTTGCTCCTATATTATGGAGGGTGGCGGCGGAGCCTCACTACACTCCTAACAGAGCTCCAAAAGTCACGACGTCCGCAGTAGATCACATTTGGGCTTCCTGGAGAATGTGCTCTAGGACCACCAGAACCGACTAAAGTGTGAAGTGAAACACCCTGAAGTTCCGTTCATTTCACAACTGATAGGAGATCAGGAGGACTAAGTAGTCGAAACCCTTACGAAGATGCTCAGGCTGTCATGCCCTAGAAATAAATTATGAAAATCTACAGTTATAAAATCTAAAAGTAAATTATTCATTATCAAAATGAAGTTACTAAAATCGTGTCAAATTGAAGGTAGGAAATATAAATCTCTCACATAAATCATCGGATGACTATTCAACAGCTGCTTGTCAGCGAAACGTGTCGCGCATACACACACAGCTGAGAAAAGGTAGGCGTATGCTAGGTCAAAAAAAAATAGGCTGCGATTTCCGGGCCATGTTTTGGGGGGTGCAACTGCACTGAATCATTGCAGGGGGCTTGGGTTGCTGTTGTTGTTTGCTTCAAAGTGATCGTCGTAGAGTTAGGATAGCTGTCCACATAGCTGGTTTGAAGTGGTAGCTTTATTGTGGCAGCAGGAGGAGGCCGCAATAATGGCGGCTTTAAGCGTAGGGCCTCTGCTCCTCTCCTCTTCTCTCTGATGAGTGTGTGTTCTCCTCTTCTCTTCTCTCTCATGCACGGTAGGGTAATAATCCTGCCGTGCCATAACCTGAACAATGTGTTGCCGGTTTTCTCGACAGAGAAGGACACGAGGGTAGCAGAATAGTCTTACGGACAGTTGTTTCTTTTTCTTGTTCCTTTTTGAAACAGGCTTGTGAACAGCGGTAGAAACGGATACAATGTGAGGCCTGTAGATAGGCTGGGGGTCCGTTGATTGTAGTAGGGGGCAAGAAGATGTTTTGTTTGTGGTGTCAAGAAAGCAGGTTTGTTTGTGCTGTTGACTACCCATTCAGAGAGTCGTTTGTTTTTCTTGATTGCCTGCCTGTCTGCCTTCATGGTCGGAACTTGGAGATGTGATTATTCTGTGGGACTGCTGAAGCTGTGAGTGAGGTGAGTTTAACGAGTGGAGGAAGTCTCGAAAGCCATATCAATCAATCAAACCAAATAAAAAGAGAGAGAGAAGAATAACGTTATATTTGCTGTGTTTATTAGTTCACGCTAAAATTAAAAGTTTAGTTGAAATTGGAAAGATGTGACGAAAAAGTTAAAATTTTATGTGAGTAGTAAAGTTTGATGTGATGGGAAAAATTGAAAGTTTGAAGAAAAAGTTTGATACTAAACTCGGCCTAAGGTATTAGCAGTGCGACGCAAACATTTGCGGAGCCTCCAACTCAGCTTAAAAATACCTAGAAACATTGTTAGATACGTAGTACATACTGCGCAGTGCATATTCTTTTGAATGGGTCCCACCCGCCTTTTTTTCTACCCTCAGTTTTCATCTCTCCTCTATCCATTCCCCACCAGTAAAAGGAAGCGAGGCAGCGGCGGAGGAAGCAAGGCGGCGACCGGAGCAGCGGCGGGGTAGCCCAAGCGGTGAGGACGGCGAGCGGGAAGCCGAGGCGGTGTCCGACGCTCCTCTCCGGGGGCGAAGAAGAGTGGCAGCGAAGAGAAGGAGGACCACGACGCCTCTCCCTCTCCCCACGGTGGCCTTCCCCTTTTTCCTCCCCACGCCGGCGGCGGCCTTTCCCTCTTCAATGTAGATCTAGGAGACGGGCCGACGAGCTCGGCGGCGCGAAGAGGAGGAAGACGAGCTTGATGGTGCGGAGAGGAGGAGACCGATGAGCTTGACGGTCGATGTGGAGAGGAGAAGATCGACGACAAGCTCGGCAGCAGAAAAGGAGGATGGCGACGGCGGGGCGGCCTAGCCCGGCGCTTGCAAGATCTAAGCCTCGGGCGGCGGCTGTGGCTCGCCGCATCACCCCTCTCTCCTCAGCCCGCTGGTGCTCGCGGTTCTGGGTGGCGGTGGCGGCTCGCCGAATCTCCTCAACTCGCCGGCGCTCGGCTCCTTAGCGGCCTGTGTGGGCGGGGCAAGGTGACGCTCGACGCGGTCCACACTCTCTCTCCCCTCTCCCCAACCGTTGTGTGCAACTTTTTCAGGTTTTTCAGTGGGAAGAATGGGTGAGTAATATTGGTTAGACAGTCCTCATGAGGCTCCGCTTGTGATGGATGTGGCGTAGAATATGTCGTTTCTGGGCTAAACGCCACGAAGGTGCATCGTGAATGGCCTAACAGTTTCTCCTTAAAAAAAACAGTTGCAGGGTAGTCAGGAGTGTGTGACAATGCTACATCAATACATCAGCGTACTAGTAGTAAGTTGGTGGTTTGGAAGGAGGGACTAAATAACTAAAATTTTTATAAGAGAGACTAAAGTTTAGTCCCTCCTTAACACCACCTAAGTACATGAGGGTGGTGTATGGCAGGGAGTAGTATGTTTCTCAGGTGGAAAATTTACCCTCGTTTGCGTTGCGTGCAAAATATCCAAGCGGAAAGCTGGATTATATTACTCGCGCGGAGCCCAGCAAACCTGTCGATTCCTGTGTGTGCATGGAGATGGAGGTGCGGCGGATAACGACGCTGATTTGGACCTCACCATCGACCGATCGACAGCGACGGCCAATCGGCGATCAATCCCTGCTTCTTCTTCTTCTTCTTCCCGGATTAGCATTCATCACAGGTCGTTGCTTGGCTCGTTGTCACGTGGAGCCTCGGACCCAATTAATGCTCAACCGCGTGCGTGTCCATGTGCCGCCGTTCACCGCTTTGATCGGCCGCCGGCACGCACGGCACGGGACGGGACGGGAGGCCATCTCGATTCACAGGCGCGAGCGCGAGTGCGGCGCCGCGATCTGGTCGTGCGAATCCCGGAATCCTCGCGTGCCGATCGGTCGATCGATGCGCACACGAGAAGCCGCACCGACACGGAGAGGTCGGCCGCTACCCACCCAATTATAACATGCAAAGTGGAGTAGCGAAGGCCAGCGGAAAGCGCGCGGAGAAAAGGAAAAGGCTGGAAACGCACGGGATGGAATGATCTGGGATGAGT